ACAAACGTTCTTGATAGCAGTGAATCTAAAAGATAATAAGAGAAGACATGGAATATTTACATGCATTTCTACACTTTCTACAAATTTACACTGGTTATATCATATATGATACCTAATCCACTCAAGAAAACCAGAGCCAAAAAACACTAACTACCACCCAAAACAGGGCTCCCTCATCCAAAAACAAACCAAATCCCAACTTCAAACTCACACACCAAACCTCTCTTAACTCTTGGTCGACAGCCGCTTGAGAAACTCGTATGTCGTGATCATCGTGGTGGCCGACATTGACATCGAGGCCCACCTCGGCCCGAGTCCCCTGTAACACGCCCCCAAACCCCCTTCCCTCACCAAATCCCTCACCGTTTGCATAACAGTCATCGATTTCCCCCCACACGGGCTTCTTTTTTCTCCTCTGTCCAAAACCTGCAGCCTCGTCTTAATCGTGTCAAGCGGCATTGTCACAAGCACCGATGCCCCGCTGGCCATGGCGGCACTCAACCCTTGCACTGCCACCACAGCCTTCCCATCCGGCCTATAACCACCACCACCGTTATTCTCGGTCTTCCTACACCAAGAACACCCGATCGAGCCCCAAATCACCCTATGCGCAACTGAATATGAAGCCCACCAGACGGCATTCGAAGGTGCGTAAGTCAGAATCGAAATCCCGAACCCACGGTACAAACCCCGAATCCCATCCACATTCACAATCTTCCTGAACGCATCTATACCGCCATTGTACCTCTTCAGTCCCGAGCCTCCCTGCACCATCAGCCTCTGGCTGATAACGTCGATCGGAGTCCACACCAGCTGGGCGGCCATGGAAGCGAACAGGCCAGCCGCAGCATTGGCTATGGCGGAAGACGAGGCTTCTGAAAGGCCCAGTCGGCTACTGGCTATGTTGCCCACATTACTCTTGGTGACTTCGAGGGCACCCATGTAGAGTGCCCGAGCAGGTATGGTCCCCATAAGGGAGGTCCCAAAGCCACGGTAAAAGCCCCTCGGGCCCTCGTTTTTTAGAATTGCGGACGCCATTTTGAGGCAGGACGAGCTGTGTAACATTACCTGGAGACGGGTTTTCAAGACGACGATCGGGTAAAGAGTACCGGAGACACCCGAGAAGAGGGCGGCGCCAAGGAAGAAGAACTTGGATTTGTCGAGCATTTCCCAGTCTACGTCGGCAGGAAGATGGATTTCGGATGCAGAATCGTCTTCTGCCGCACTTAAGCTCATCTTCGCCACTTTTGATACCTTCTTTTCCCCTTCAACAATGAAGGCAACCCCCAGAAAGAGTACCTACTCTCGATCAAAATAACTTAAAAGTCCCTAAAATCTATCTATTTGTCTACCTATCTATAGGAACACAAAATGAAGGCATTCACGAACGAAAAAAAAAAACTAATCGTGATTGTCAGAACAAAACATCAAACAGAAACAAACCCATGACCTAATTTTTGTCTCTAGTATTACCCAGACGG